GGTTTGAAAGGCTATCTCTCCATATCGGCACGCAAATCAAAAAGTAATCGTAGACTTAGAACCAGAAGTAATCGTTGTTGGGGTCAAAACTAGATCTAATCTAGATCTAATCTAGATTCTAGATTTTCCCTGTCACAAAAGTCGGGACCACCATATCCAAGTAGTGCCGATTTCTATTCTACTCTGTTATAGATTCTGGTCTATGAACCACTATGACATTTAGCTTTTCATTTTGACGTATTTTTCCCCAACTCTACTTACCTCTGAAAGATACCAGACAACCAGTTTTGGTCAACACCAGGTTGTGCTGGCGGTTGGCCGTAACCTTGTTGCTGTTGACCGTACCCGTACGACATAGTTTCTAGAATTTATTAGTCCTAACTAAACCCTGAATTTACGAACTTCAAGTCTTCAATTCGTCACCTGTACCACTACAGTAGTTTCGACACTTCCCAGGAAATTACAACAGGACTTAGTCAACACAAATTTAGGTTGAAGATTGGGTAATTTTGTCTATTGATGACTGTAGTAGTGGTAGTGCCGCTATTTTCACTTCCGGGTGAAGCTCCGTACTTCCTTAAGACTACCGGGCAAGTAGGCCTAATAGAAAATATTTTTTTTGTACGTGAAATGCTACTGTCCCGGTACCGGTAACATTATAATATTAATTGTCATTATCATCATCATCATCTCGGATGAGAGGATCCAAGCAAAGGAATGAATGGAGAACCATGATCGCCGATGTCTGTCGCAGATCTGGCACTGGATGAAGATCGTCATCTCTCACATAGACAAACACTAGATTGTGCACTCCGACGTGCTTCCATTTCACTATGAAGTGAACCATTTGATTCATAAATTCGATCAACTATCTAGATATCTAGGTCTAGATCTAGAATAGCGAGACTGCATTTTTGCTCTTCATTGGGCGTCATCGGCCATGGTGTGCAAGGTTCGCGGTAAAGTTTTTGTAGAAAGCGGAGAGCGATCTATCGTCTATAATCTCTCTCTCTCTCTCTCTCTCT